GTGCCCAAGCACACGGTTGGCCTTATCCAAATCGAAAACGAAACCTGGCATTTACATAAACTGGGAAAGAAAGGAAAAACGACATGCACTCTCTTGATCGGGCAGTAAGAGGGGAGCAAGGAGGGAAGGACGAGGGTCGAGGGAGGAAGGATGGTGATGGTGCCTCTCTCTCTCTCTCACACACACACACAAAAAAAAACAAAAAAAACAAAAAAAAAGAAGCTTAAATGGCGACAGGGAGGCGGAAAAATGAAACAGTTCACTGCCCTTGGAGGGGCGAATGGGTGCGAGCACAGGAGCCCGTGGGTAGGGGAACGGGGCGGTGAGGAGAAAGGTATTGGGTACTGGGAGCACAGGTTGAAAGTGAGGACGACACAGAAAGACTCACTTGAGTGAGCCAGTCGACGCAGGCGTCCAATTCGACGAAGCCTCCAACCAAGAATGACAAAGCCTCAAGCTGAATGGCACCAATGAACGTCGGAGTTCTTGAAGTGCAACGCCCCAAGTTCATGAAGCACGTAAGGAGAGAGGGGGAGAGGGTCACCAATTCGTGGTTGCACTCAAAGAGCGTACCACGAAGCACCAAGTTCACCTAGCAAGAAGCACCAAGTTCACGTGGCACGTAGCAGAGAGGAGAGAGAGAGTTGCACCAATTGGTAGCATGTAGCTCCTAAAAAGGACGTAGCGCCAAAGCGCTTAGAACGGAGAGAGAAAGAGAGGAGTTGGACAAATTCGAAGCACGGAGCTCGTAGAATCTTGCACACATATCTCGTAGAATCTTGCACACGTAGCACATAGCTCATAGAATCTTGCACACGTAGCACGTAGCTCGTAGAATCTTGCACACGTAGGACGTAGCTCGTAGAATCTTGCACACGTAGCACGTAGCTCGTAGAATCTTGCACACCTAGCACGTAGCTCGTAGAATCTTGCACACGTAGCACGTAGCTCCACGCACGAATTACAAAGGACAAAGCACGAGGTGCCAAAGCCCAGCCCGAAGCACGTAGCACCAAAGCCCAAAGAACGTAGCAGTGGTTCACATAGCGCACCCACACCCACCCACACACACACACACAGATAGAGATATATATATATATTGTCACATCACTACAAACTAAAAGAGCGCACTTATATATATATATATATATATATAGAGAGAGAGAGAGAGAGAGAGAGAGAGAGAGAGAGAGAGAGAGAGAGAGAGAGAGAGAGAGGGGCAGGTAGGTCACGTAGGGCAGATCGTCCAGGTAGGCCACCTAGGGCAGTTACATCCGGTAATGCAGGTCAGTAGCCAACGCTAGGCCGTGTGGGTTAGGCCGGATAGGGGAAATCACTGCTGGTGCAGGCAGGTCGCGTAGGCAGGTGCATCCGGTAGTCTATGTACATGCGAAGGTTGCCTTTTTTGTCTTCCCCCCCTGCAACGGCCAAGTTCGAATCCAGATGGCCCAAAAGGTTTCCTTTGTTTTTTTCCCGAACAGCGACACCTCTGCTTCGAACAGTTTGGGGCCTTCATGGAAGATTCATCTGGCCTTCAAAACGAAACCACAAAAACAAAAAAAGCTATAAAAAAAACAACAAAGGAAGAGAGAACAACGATGGGGATGTACCTTGCCATGTTCCAGGAGACGTTTTGAAAGGAGACTTTATACCCACGGCTATAGAAAAACAACAAAAGAAGAGAGAACAACGATGGGGATGTACCTTGCCATGTTCCAGGAGACGATTCGTTCTCATTTTGCACATTCGGTGAGTACTGCAGCAAGGCCCCAAAAGGACTGGAGAGACCGTGCGGCAAAAAGAAAAAAAGAACTACACACTTCAAACATTCAAACCCATTTTCCGAAACATAAACGAAAAGGAACCGAAAGAAGAAAAAAACAAAATCACGGCAGCACACGTAGAGGACAACAAAAGAAAAAACAAAGTAATGGCAGCAGAAGAAAACAAAACAACGCAATAAAAGAAAGGTCCCGCCAGAATCTGAAGCAGAACAAAGACAAAAAAAATGGCCACCCTGATCCTCTGACACGATCCACCACCAAACACGCCGCAGTTCAAGCCAACACCGTTCAACAACGGACAATCGACGGCCGCAGCACACTCTTTTCGCACCTAAAGCTGATTCCACAAAGAACCACGTGTCGGCCAGCTAGGCCCGGACACATTTTGCTGAAAACGCTCGTTTTGGGCAATCTGCACCCTTGGTTCCGAAATCCAAAAGGCCAGAACTCACGGAAAACGAAAAATATTGGCGCGTAGCGTTCCCTCCGCGGCCTACTTATCTATAGGAGTCTGTTGTAGATGGATAACTAGGTGCGTGATTTCAGTCTTTCTAAGTCCATCGTTAGTGACAGGGACTTCAGATTCACTAACAAACTGTGGCAAAGCACAGCCCAGCAGACGGGAGCCCAACTGCAGGTGACATCAGGGACTCGCCCTGAGTCCAATGGCCAAGCTGGGCAAATGAACCGGGTAGTGCAGCACCTGCTCCGGCACTACATCAAACCGAGCCAGGATGACTGGGATGAGAAGTTGCCTCTCATCGCCAGCCTGTACAATAATGCTGTACACAGCACTACCAGAATGACTCCCAACCAGCTGCATCTTGGTTGGAAGCCCAGATCAGCGCTTGATTTTCTGCTGCCTGAAAAGCAGCCCACAGCAGCACCTGGCAGCATAGAATTTGCTGTCAAATATAACAAGATGCTGCAGCAGGCTGTTGAACAAATTCGAAAAGCCCAGGAAACTATCATAGCTTCCGAAAACAGGCACAGATGGCCATCTACATTCCATGGAGGAAAAAGGGTATGGGTTAAATCATCTGAACTAGGACAGGAACTGGGTATATCTAAAAAAACTCATGCCACAGTATTTTGGACCTTGGGAAGTACTGGACATAGTAGGGGATCAGCAATACATCCTTCATACGTCATTCGAATTCCCGGACACCTTCTCACACACCCTGTTTACATGCCTCCAAACTTGCTCCTTTCGCAGAGACCAACAAGTTTCCTTCAAGAAGATATATGTTGCACCCCGTGGACATTCATGGTATCATAGAGCACAAGGTGATGCCTGTGCCCAAGCCTCCCGGCAGGGGACGACGGCCCAAGCCTCAGATGCAGTATAGAGTCCGGTTCAGACATCATATTGACCCGAAGGAAGATCGGTGGTTCACAAGAGAAGCACTGATGAAGGCTGCTCCGCAGCTTATCTCAGGATATGAAAGAAGACTGAAAGGGAAGCAGCCAGCTGATTAAAGACTCTTAGAGGACTATCGAAGGAAAAGAGGAGGTAGTGTGAGGATTTTAAGCCGTCGGCATACTTGCATGTGGCCCCTACAAGCAAGCATGTTACCGCTCTAAGTGAAGGCGGGCCCCTGAATCTCAATGAGGCCTGAATTTGTCAATTTTGCAAGGCCTTGGTGGGCGGCAGACAGTTGCCACGCGCCAGTTGGTTATATCCGCCCTGCTCGTAAAAATCAGAAACATTCATGAGCCTTCCAGGCTCTTCTGGCAGTGCAGTGGAAGCAAAGAATACCTCACATTTTCGCTTGGGCGGTTGGGCAGGCCTAACCAATTCGGGCCCAGGCCACTGTCTCAATGGGCCTGGGAGCAGACACTTTGGCCCGACCTGAAGCTACTCAGCACACACAAGGCAAGGCAAGGCTGCCATCGGGCCAGGCCACTTCGCATACAGCAAAGTGCCTGGCCGCGAGTCAGGCATTCACGCCCTTGGTCGAGCGGCTGGCAGTGCTGCTGGGGCATATGCTCGTGCCTACCTGGCTAGTGAGGAGTGTTCACGGGCACTAGAGGAAGGTGGGAGCTGCATGGAAGCACCGCCATAGCCCAGGCAGCCATAGCTGGGCCTGGGGCTTGATAGCTGGCGGGGGATGGTGGTGGTCCTACGGTGTGGGAAGGACGTGGGTAGAGAAGACTACGGTGAGCATGTTGAGAGTGCGTGTGGGGGTGATGTGAGAGCCTGTACCTGGTCCTGGCGGAGGTCTACATGGTTGACATCTGCATGTAATGTGGTTGCTGCTGCTGACATCAACTTGTTGCCTTAGGTTAGCAAAGTAGCTGTATGATTGTAGTCTGGGCGCTGAGCGTCGATAGGAGGAAGGGCTTCGAGTACATTGTTGGTGGTGGCGAGAGAGAGCTCTCATTGACAACTGAGTTCGCTGCTTTGGTTCTCCTTCAGTGTGAATTCAGTGCATTTCTGCTTTCTGGACAGCTTACAACTACCTGGCTTTCAGTACGATTCCGCAATTTGGAATTCCGTCACTTCGCTAACGCTCATTTTCCTTGCCATGCCAATAGGACATCAGTTGAGTTCATCCATTCACTGAATATACTCTTACATAAACTTTAGTATGTTGAGCAGATTATCACATCTGAAACTCCTAATCATTTTGAAAGTTGAAACAGTAGACTTAACACGTAGAATTCCTAATCATTTTGAAAGTTGAAATAGTAGACTCAACACTCAGAATGATGCCCAGCGAGAGAAAACCTCCAAAGTCCAAACAGATGACTGAGGCACTTGTACCAAGTCTTATGATGGCACTGCAGTCCCCAGTCCGAGGTGGAAGATCATATGTGAGACAAACCTATCTAACCTGAACATTACTTGTAGACATCATCCCTTCCCCCACTTGAAAGGAGATCATCCAGGCCGCATGCAATACACAGGTGAGACTGACAGATCTGGCTGCATGAGAGAAGGCTGCTACCGGCACAAAGATGATAAAAAAGGCTGGCATGCACTGGAACGATTCTGTACGGCAGACCTTTCCTACATAGGCGGCGGCCAAAACTGAAGTGATGGCTCACAAATGTCAACACCAAATAGAAATAAAACCATTGTCACTCTCCTCTAACTAGGCAGTCCGCATAACTTCGGTCTTCCAGAAAGCCATTATTACCAGCAGCACACAAAGAATCCCAGGTGTAGTGCAGAACCAGATGGGGAGGCCCATGGATTCTTAGTTCACTCACCTTTTGCTAACATAAGCTTCTCCTGTGTGACTAGAGTTGCACGATCTGCCTTCTCGGTCTCGCGCTGGGCCATCATTCTCTTTGTCGTCTTCAGAAGCTGTACAACGTGGGCTGAATGTCTCACATCATTTGATCGAAACGATACCTCCCGAAGGAAAATGGCGTCGGGGTATTTCTGAGCAGGTGCATACGCAGCAGCAAATCCAGTTCCAGGTACATTGAAATTTATCCTTATGTAGGCATGCGCTCCATCTTGCTGCGAAGAAGACAAACAGGTACAAGGTTTGCCTCAGAACTATGGACAAGTTTAAGATGAGAGAGACGGAGAGCATTGTAGAGGAGGAGGATAATTATATGATATGCAATTCAGATACCCGCTGAAGACATCAGTCATATTCGCAGCCTTGAGAGTCAGGCTGCCTCTTCAGGGCCTAAGTTCTCAGCTGTAGTTTCCATTCTCAAATTGATGTAGTTGAGTTTTGGTGGGCAGAAGTCCAAAAAATAAAAACCAAAAAAAGCAAAATAAAACGGCCTTTACCCGATACCCGATACAGTCCTCATAAAAGTAAAGCAGCGTGAAGGGGTATCTCGCCAGGACCCAGGACACGAGAAAGCAGATCAACGGGCAGGTTCTCTATCAAAGGACACATCTAAATCTAAGCTAGAATTCAGTGCCAAAGGTTATTGCTGAGAGACATACCTGTTCGCAAAAGGATGCACATGTCATGTCTGTTCAGATGAGGGTGTGTCTGTACGTGCAGTTAGTGTGTCTGTTCGTGCAAAGGAGAGTGTCTATTCACACTGTGTGAGGGTCTGTTCAGGCAGTAAGTGTGTCTGTTCGTCCAAAGTTGTGTCTGTTCGAAAGCAAGTGAATGAACAGAGTCCCAGATCTGGTCTAAGTCTAGGGGCCAGTCCAGATCCAGATGTCCAAGTCCAAATCTAGGCCGAGTGGCCTCAGCAGCAGTTGACTTCACTGGGACAGGTACTGGGACACATGCAATGCAGGGTCTGGGACAAAGGAAGGCCTGAACGAGTCTATGCAGACCCAACGAGAGGAGACCAGCATTATAAAAGGAGCAGAGCGCCTCATTTCTCGCCAGATCTCCACTGGCATTTTGTGCGTGGAAGTGCTGAGGCATTTGTGCGCCAGTCAGGAGGAGCAGTGCTGGAGGAGGAAGATGCGCTATGTGAGGGAAGGAGACTGTGCACTGGAATGAGATGCAGCCATAGCTGCCCAGCGAGTTAGTAATAGTAATAGAGAGTTAGTAGTAGTCAGCTATGAGTAGCATTCAGAGTAGATCCTAGTGAGAGAAGAGTGAGTATGCATCGTAGGAGGAGAGGGGACTAAGACAGAGAGTGGTCAAACAAGGTTGGGCTATGAAAGATACCTGAGTTGGATTTGAATGCAGAGGTGGCGCTGATGTGTAGAAGCCATCTAGTTGAGTTGGAAGGGAGATTTGCACTGCGCTGATGAGCGCTGGACTCAGGGAACTATGAAACTCTTTGTACACATATTTTTGATAATATAAGCTGTGTAACTCGGTTCTCTTCTCATCTACCTTTGTCTAATGTGTGAGTCTTCTGATCATTGTGTACGAGTATGATGCATGACATGTACACTCTTGCGTGAGATGGTCCCCAGGACCCATGCAGAATTTGGTATAGGAGCTGGAAACTCGTTGCACTCATAGCGCTGGCATGAGCAAGGCCGGCGAGAAGAGATGATGCTGAAGAGGTGGTGATGGAGAATTAGTAGAGGAAGGAGGGAGGAGAAGAAGTCTTGCGATAGTGGGGGAAGCAGGCCGAAGAAGAAGAGGCTTACTTACCTGGAGCGTGCCGTCGTGAAGCATCATCGGCGGTATCTCCAACAAGAGAGAAGCACCTCCTGCCTTTAACCTGCATGCATGTGTGTGTCCCCTACCTTCTCTCTCTTCCCCTCTGAAGGTGACTGCTGCTGGACTAGAAGTCAGGACTGGATCTGGATCATCGTAGTGTGTCAGAGTCTGAGTCGTCAGAGTCTGGATGGTCCAAATGCAATGTGTCAGGGCCTGGTCACGTTAGATTAGGTGGTCAGTGTTCTGCGAGTAGGAGTAGAGTTCTCTCCTACCCTTCTCGATAAGCAGGCTGTGTCACGTCATCAGGAACTGTGAACCGATGTGGGTGGTGGCTATGTGCCATGTCAGATTGCAAGAATAAAGCTGCACAAGTAAGATGATAACATATACCGGGCTAATTAAGCCACGAAGAAAGAAAAACGTGAGTAAAGTATTGTTGCCTGGTTGACTACGTGAGCCATTGCATCTGACACTTCTGCGCTGTACTCCATACCTGCATCCAACAGCCAGTCAGTTAGTAGCATCAAGGGGGAGGTACAGCAAGATACCAGAAACGCATTGCAAGGAGTCTGATCCAGAAAAGCCAGACAGCATTGAAAAAAAAAAAAGAAGGATATATACAAGGAACAAGCATTGATTTCAGTTTGAATTGAGTGTTCATTGTGTGCAGCACCTTCTACAGTCAACAAAAAAAAAAAAAAAAAAAAAAAAAACACCTAGAACTCCATTCGCCACCCATTAAGACTGAGTGGACAAGCAAGTTAGAGGAGGATAGTGTTGTGGTGAGCTGGCGGAGGACCCCCTGTGCCGATCCTCGCCATGGACGACTATCCCATCCAGGGCCTGTTGGCCCTTTCTGTCCTATTGGGCCCACTATTCAGGTTCATGTTTCCGTTGGGGTTCGGACGCGTGTGTACGTCCCGCATGTTAATGCGATCGGGAACAGTAAAGCCTGGGCCCACACCTGCGGAACAGGCGGAGATTGACCGCAGGCTGGCAGAGAAAAAGAGGGAAAAAGAAGCTAAAAAGAAACAAAAAGAAGAAGAAGCAAAGAGAAAGATGAAAGAAACGATGGACAAGGAGTTAGAAGAAGAGTTGAAGAGTATACGAGAAGAAGAAGAAGAAGAAGAAGAAGAAGAAGAAGAAGAACAGGATGAAGGAGAGACATTGCAAAGACATCGTCATCTTGATATACCTGAAAGTAGTACAGCCAGCCGGCTTCCCGTTGAACCGTTGGACTGGGCTGGCCAGTATTACTACTCCAGCGAACCATTTAGGGAGTCTGAAGAAGAACGGGGTACATTCATCGCAAAGTTGGCTACTGTAACTGACACAGTCGAGCTCAATCTAATGCGGGAGGAGAAGAGGGCGGAGTTTAATAATAAATTGTTAGCAGCCAGAAGACAAGAAGTGGAAGAAAAAAAGAGGCTGCAGGCAGAAGGGGAAAAACTACAGAAGGCTTTAGAAGCTCAAAAGGACAAACCCTCTGCAACAGAAGAACAACTTGCTCTCCTCAAAGAGGCTATCCTCAACACAAGGCAGGACATGGCCTTAATGCGTCAGACCTTACAAAGGGTAGAGACACATCGGGTTGAATTCGAATCTGTTTGGAACAACTTCCTAGAAAAGTCAGCCAAGGATGTTGACCAGCATGTGCAGACATACATCAAGGCCTTGGACGAACATGTCACCAAAACTTTCACTCCCGAAGTTATAGAAAAGATTGTAAAGGGAGTTGGAGGTAGAGGAGGAGATGGTGATGACGATGGCGATGATGACAACAAAGGGGAAAAGAAGTGGGGATCCGAAGGGAAGACTTCCACAGGAAGTAGGGCAGGTTAGTAAGATTAAACTTAAACTGCCATGGACCTACAATGGGAAGAAAGAAGAGAGTGTTTTGCATTGGGCAGCAGCAATAGAAACATATGTATACGGGCAGCGAATCCCATACTGGGACAGGGTGCTAATGGCAAGTTCATGCATGGGAGGCGACGCCATGAGCTTCGCCATCTCGCTACAAAAAGAGGCGGGATGCAGTTCAATGGTGGAGTTTTCACAACAAACTCGAATCGAAGATTTCCTTAAGGCAATCCGGGAAAGATTTGAAGATAAGAACCTAGGACGTCGCACAGAGATGTTGATCATTAATCTCCCTGATAGGAAATGGAAAAGCACCTCTGCCCTGAAAGCAACTATGGATGAGTTGTTGCAATGCCCCGACCATGGACTTACACCTGCTCAAATTTTGAATAGCTTTGCAAGAGCACTACCAGATCCCTTGAGAACACAACTTTATCCCCGCGTCAAAGAAGTAGGAATGACGTACGAGAAGTTCGGCAAGATCGCAATAGATCACGCCGGCTTCCTCGCTGAAGCAAAGTACTGCCACTATTGGAAGGATCTGCAAGCGGGAAAGAAGTGGCAAAACCGCACGATCTCAGGATCTATACCTGGGAAAGATAGTCTCCTTCTAACCTTTGAAGACGGAGGCGTCGATGCCATATCCTGGGACCGGGTGGATTATGGTCTTGATGAACCCAGCGGACCGGTAGCTCAGAAAGAAGTTACGCAGCCGTTGTAGCCCGCGGGGGAGGGCGTCAAGGAAGAGGGTGTGGCCGAGGAAGAGGTCGTAGCCGTGGTGGACGAGGATTCGGCACCCAGAGGGGTGGTGGTGAAGGAAGCCACTACGTGGGAGGAAGGGGCAATGGTCCCTCACAAGGTGGCCGTGGTTCTTACTCCACCTGGAGTAGAGGAAGGGGCACTTGGTATAACAAGTGGAACAAACCATACCCACCACATCCAGGCCTACCCGAGGGAGAGCCTTGGAAGTAACTAAGAATAACAGAAAAAGTATGGCAAGAAAGAAAAAAAGCATACCAATGTCTCAAGTGTGGAGACCCCGACCACATTGTCCCCTATTGCCCTGACTATAGGGGGGCAAAAGGGAACAACCAGTAGAGGTGCCAGTTGCCTCTACCGGGGCTTCGGATGTTGAAAATCAAAATCCTCCCATTCGAAGGCTCCAATGGCAGAAACTGAAGAGGAAGGAAGTCCCCATCTAGTGCACTGTCCAGAGGTGGCAAACGTATGCATCTCTCTAGATGGATCCCTCGCTGGCGTGGGTGATGAGTTGACCGCTCGTCGCCAAGCCTGGACTGAAATGCGAAAAAAGAAAGGACAGTTGATAATTGCAGATCTTGAAATAAATAGAATAAGAGTAGGAGGTTTGATAGACAGCGGATCTACGCGCAGTTATATTAGCAAGAAAGGTTCGCAGAAACTGCGTCTGAATGAGCCCATTGTAAGTAAATTAGCTAATAATACTGAAGTTGTTATGGATCGATACGTTGAGGGGGTTCAAGTATACTTTCGGCTACAGGCGGAGGGGAAGGTGGAAAGTGTTCTCCACTATCTGACCTTC